TAGCTAAAATAACTGCTATAGATAAAAATGTTGATACTGCACAATATACCATTTTTGTATCCTTTCTGAGGCAATATAGACAAACAATGGACAAACAATGTTTTTCCTAATATAGAAGATCTTAGTGAAGTTCTAGACTCTGAAATTTTAGGAAGACTTACGGTTAAGATTTTGAGGCATGGGAAAATTCAAGTTTTGTAATTTGCCTCTTCAAAAAATGGTTTATTTTTCCTTATTTAAAATTTGTTCGTTTTTTAATTTTTAAGTTTAAGAATAACTTCATATTTAATTCTGTGTAATAATAAAGGTTGACTTTAGCATAATACGTGTTTTAAATCCACGATTTTAATATGTTTAAAATATTTCCACTTTGCCCCACAAATGGAATCACTTTACCCCACATATGGGGCAAAGCGGTTTTTTTACATTTTACTATAAAAATGCTTCTACATTTTTTATGATTCCTTTAAGTTTAAACAGTATGATATAATATGAGAGATAAGAGATATAAAAATGTATTTGTATTATATAAACTTTAAAGAATCATAATTATCTTATTTTTCCACAACTTTTTTATTAAGGTGGCCTCTTTGCCCCAACCTCCCCTACATTCCCAAATCTCTCTTTATACTTGTATTACAACAATAAAAAATGTGTTAACTGTGTTTTATTTTACTCTTACATATTGGTTCAATTTAAAAAAAAGATTGCAACAAAATTGTACTTATCAAATTTCAGCATTTAAGAAATTTGGTCATATATACCTAATTTATATTTTATATAAAATTAAATAATTTATCAATTAAAACATGCAAGACTTATTTAGAAATAAATACAGCAGTATATTCTGTGCTTTATTTAGCTATAAACAAGTTTATTTTTATTATTTTGACAAAATTATGTATAATTCCCATAAGAAGCCATTTTGAACCCCGTATGCAGTACCAGCGCCTATGCGGTTAATTATAGAAGCTCAATTAGCATGCGTTATTTGGGACCGTATTTTGATTATGCCAGTTCGCCTCCTTATCTCTAGTCTTCATAGGTGGTGCACTTGTCATTAGTACACGATGAGTTACCGACAAGTCAAAACGATCTGTAATAATAAGCGTGGATAATTTGTCAGGACATGTGTAGTAAGTACACGCGTTTCAAAAAATGTGTTAGCGAAAAAAGAAAAGGAATGGAACAAAGGCGAATGGTTGCTTGAGTTTTTAATTATGCCTACTATTCCAATAATTTATAAAAACTGAATATCCTAACTAATAAAAAATTAAAGAAAAATTAAAAACTCTACAACTTTTACAATGCAATATTTCTGATAACAATTTTAAAAAATATCTTCAGAATTCAGTCTCATGTATCACTTTTATTTGCAGTTAAGGTACATAAGTCGTTTGCGATGATTTTTGTCAGGGATTTGTAACAAATCGCAGTTGCGCACAACCGTTCCGATTTATTTACCAGCGATTACTTTAAAGATTTTAAAAGGAAAATAAATATTACCTTTAATTCAAATAAAAAAAAACGAATATTTAAATATCTTAGCTTGTATTTAAATACAAAAATGTCTATGCACGACATGCTGCATGGATTGTAGATTCGGTATCGCTTAAATAAAACACTAGTGTTCATGTTGGATAATCATGGGTAACAAAAAACAAAACATCGTCTTTACAATTCTGATATGTTCTTGATGTCAACTTTTGGGAACTGATTGTAATGGTTGAATACTAGATCATAACTTGTATTCCAATAATATCAAGTATTTTTAAACTTATTATATAATTTTTTTTTTTTTATTTTAAAATTAGAATTTTTTAGCTCTCTGGCAGAATAAAAAGGCATACATTGCTTATAAACAATGCCGCCGAACCATGAAGCGCTCCCAGAGTCTCTTTTCTATCGTCGTCTGTGTATTGTAAACCAAAAAATTGACAGCTATCCGCAAACTGGATCAAATTCAAAAAAAGAATTGCATGGAAACCACATCAACCAGAGCCATGGGAGTCATTCTTAGTCTCACTCCCCTTTATATGTACATCAAGGAGATTGCTCTGATAAAAATAAGACCGCCTCCGCACGGTTGGAATTCTCCTTATACAGTTGTAGGAGAATTTTGAAATTAAATATTTGATGTCGTTATTAAAGATGAAATAAATTATTTATTAATGTTTTATACATTAGTGTTGTAATGTTAACTATATTGTGCACTTGTACCTTAAAATTTTAACCTTACGACTAGTAAGTTTTTTAATAATTTTAAATATAATTTTAAGACCTAATATTGTAATTTTAGTGTCTTGATAACGGAAATAAGCATTTCCGAAAGCTTGATGATGATAAAAGAGTTTTACTAAAAATTTTGGCCTTAATAATTTTTTTTTACTGCATTTCCCAAGAAATGTAATTTTTTCTATATTTATATGTTCCATAAGCCATATAAAGTTATAGCAGAACAATATAAAAGAGCCGGAAGTGACAGGAACGATTCATATCTACACTGATACTTTTAAAACAAAAAAAGGCCTAAGATGTGGAATATATTCTAGATCATTAAGCCTAAACATAAAATGGGCTATGAGTACTAGTGCCAGTGTAGTTCAAACCGAGCTCATGATGATTCTCAAAGTAGCAAAAAAAGTTATTAAAAACAATATCAGTAGAAGGAAAATGCTCATCTATACAGAGAGCAGACAAGCACTAATCATCCTGGACAGACCACAAATGTACTCAATAGCACATACAGATGACCTGGTCATTCTTCAATATTTTAAGAACATACTCTGCGAAAGAATGCAAGTAGCTCCAAAAGATGTAGAACAGTGGTGCAAGGACCATTCACTGTCTATCAATCCTAGGAAGACAGAAATGGTCCTCTTCACAAGAAAAAGGATGAAAATGGAGTTAAAACCTCCAGAGCTCCTAAACACAAAACTAAACTATGCAACAGAGGTGAAGTACCTAGGTCTCACCTTTGACAGCAATTTAACATGGAACTTGCATTTAGAAAACAAAGTCAAAAGAGCATATATTGCTTATGAACAATGCCGTCAAACCGTGGGGCGCACCTGGGGTTTCTCCCCAGAGTCGTCGCATGGACTTACACGGTTATCATAAGACCTATGCTAACATAGAATGTAGTTGTCTGGGTACCGAAAACTCAAAAATAAACAGCTATCCGTAAACTAAAACAAATTCAAAGAACAGCATGTCTTAACATAACAGGAGCCATGAAAAGGAGATTGGTCTGACGACAATAACACGCCTCCACATGGTTGGAATATAACCTAATATAGGCTCTGGTGAGGCGAGACGTTGCTTTTGGCAGGAGATTTTTGATACGCTTCCACTGCTTAAAGCGAACATGGACTCCATCTTACCGAGATATAATCTTCCATAAGCCATATAAAGTTATAACAGAACAAATAGAAGAGCCAGAAGTGGCAGGTACGATTCATGTCTACACCGATGGTTCTAACACAAAACAAGGCTCAGGATGTGAAACATATTCCAGATCCTTAAACCTAAATATAAAATGGGCTGTGAACAATAGTGCTAGTGTGGTTCAAACAAAGCTTCCGGGGATTCTCATACAAGCAAAAGAAATCACCAGAAACAATATCACTAAAAGGAACATGCTCGTCTATACAGATAGCAGACAAGCACAACTCACCCTGAACAGACCACGAATTTACTCAGGGTTAGTACCAGAATGCCACGAAACTTTGGCCGAAGTATCCATCAATAATGTGGTCACCTTAAGATGGATCAAAGGTCACGCCACATCTTGCTGATTCACTAGCCAAGAAAGCAGCCAACCAAATACTTTTTGGACCTGGCCCTTCTATTGGCCTGACAAAATCGGTAGTGACAGACCTAATTAAAGAACTTGTGAAATTCAAGGGAAAATGGATTGAAACAAGAATCTGCAGAGTTTCCAGGGAGCTCTTAAGTTATCCTGACAACACTGCAGCAAACAAATACTTGACTATAACTAAGCAGAATCTGTGCCTAGTCACTGGTATTTGCCAAGTACGGAAGCATCTCCACCATATCATAGGGCTGTCAGAATCCGCACTGTGTAGGGGGTGCAAACAAGGAAATGATACCATCGAGCATATCCTTCACGATTACTCGACGCTCTCATTTATTAGAAGATTTGTGGTCGTCGAGTATCGGCTAAGACCTCTTGGCGACGTTGTCAACTACAATCTGTAGGCTGGCTCACGAGCTAGAAGGTGTCCATCATCTTAGGAGTATGCACAATGGGCCAGTGAGGCCTAAGTGCCGTCAGGGTAACCCACCCTCCACACGTTACAGATACAGGATACTCAGGGTTAGTGCTAAAATGTCACGAAGATTTGACCAAAGTATCCATTAACAATGTTATCACCTTCATATGAATCGAAGATCACCCCATATCAAAAGGTAACCGTATTGCTGATTTACTTGCCAAGAAGGCACCAAAGACAAGACAAGAAGCTTTTTAGTAAACCTGACAATACTACATCAAACAAATTCTTCACTAAACAGAATCTGCGCCTAATCTTGGTCCTCTGACTGCTCATTACCAAGTACGGAAGCATCTCCACTGCATGGATCTGTCAGAATTTGCATTCTGCAGAGGGTGCGAACATGAAGATGAAATCATCATACATATTCTCTACAATTGTCTGATGCTCTCATTTACTAGAATATTTGTGTTCGTCAATATATGAGAAGCATCTCTTCACAACATTATCAACTACATCAAATCTGTAGGCTGGCTTACAATGGACCTAGTGAGGTCTTAGTGGCGTAGGAGTAACATACTCTCCACAACTTACAGATACAGAATATAGATAGTATTGATTTTGTGTTTTAATAATCTCAAGACCATTAAATAAATAAAAGACATATTCATACACACAATATAAGTCATTGTTGCAATTTACAAACTCTCCCTTTCTCTACATCGGGTTTTTGTTTAATTATTATTTTCTCATTATACGATTGATTACAGATATTCAGTAATATTTAGTTCCTTTTATTTGATAATTTCGGCTGCTTAAACTCTTCTAACCAGGTAGCTTCATAGATTTTATTACCTCCATTAGGTGCCTTCTTTTTCTTTATTATTTAATTTAATTTTTTTAATTTAAAATTCATTATTCAATGACAATGACTCGACCAACGTACCAACTGTAAAACATGATAGCTGTTACTTTGGCTGCTACCTACCGCGCGCCACTTTCATCGGGACTACTTCCCTTAGCCATTATACGCTCGCATGTCTCACGCAGATAGTCAATAGGTATCCTGTAATATCCTTACTTTTAATGAGGGTTTTGCTTCTAAATACTTTGATAGGCCGTCATGAAACATTTTTAGACTGTTTTGAGCTTGTCAGGATCTATTTTTCTGCAAACACCACTACTATCCGCAAAGAAGCAGCATCTTTCAGGAATAAACCTTCCTTTTTGTTCTATGACGGCTATTTGTCCTTTTCCTCTACACTTGTACTCTTTTTGGTTGACTGAAAAAGTTAGCCTTGATTACAGCTCTTTTTACTTGAGTGTAATCCTGGCCCTCATTCACCAGATCTAGCAACTTGGAATTAGAAATATCATATATCCTTCCTGTCATTATTTATTCATGCGTAATAAGGTCAATATCCTCAAGGATCGTAGCTGATTGATCTCGAAGTCCTCAGTGCTTTTCTAGAATTGATGTTTTCTACCTTCTAGTTTGTGATACCTCATTGGCTTACCTTATATTTATATTTTGGACTTATGCGGCTCCTTATCCTGCATTTTTTTTTTTGTTTCACCGTTATACCTAGTTCCCAGGAGCAGCTAGGAAATTTCGATATATCAGCACATTGCGGATGTGTATAGATGTTTGTTCGCATTGTGATCCCCTCTTAAAGTAATTGGCCTAAGTCTGTACTACTCGTCGAGTAAATTGTAGCAGTTTTTACTTGGTACTCTTAATTATATTCCATTTCACCGAAATTGTACTACCCTCGAATTTGGGGCTATTTTGTTCAGAAACCAATATAGGTAAAAATGTAAATATATGTAAATTGAAATTTAACAGTATAGTTTTGACATGCGTGACAAAACATTTCACTTCGCTTATAAAAAAGAAGCGAGTTTACTATGTGATTGTTATCTTTCATTCGATTAGCCTTTAACTGTATTTTGAACTTTGTCGTGTCCATTCAAAGGTGAGTAACTTTTTAAAACAATTTGGAATGAATGAAAACAGAAAATTAATTACAAAACAAAGAAATGTTTGAAACAATTAGTTGCAATAGTAATAGATAAAAAAATATTTTATATAGATACACTGAAACTAAGTTTTTTTAAGAGATAATTACACTGGGTGTTGTATATAAAATAAACTGTATGGGAATTTTGAACAGGGAATAAGTTATAGTGTCGGTTAAATGATTTTTGGGTGCAAAATATAGATGATGTACCAATTTCAAATTGTATTCTTTCATATAGAAAAAAATAACGCCAAATTTAATTTTTTTTCCAAAACATGTAATCACTTATTTATTTGTATTTTCTTTCAAAACATGAATGTGGCTATTAATTTTACTGCAAATTTTTTACTTTTATCTCATTTTACCGAATTTAAATCTATTGAATTTTTAAAATTGACAGTAAGCATAGATTCTAACAAGACAAAAATGATGTTCCGTAAGAATTTCACAAAATAAATATACAGGGTGTGTCACAGTAAGGGAACTCTCTTATTGGCACATAGATTTCCAAATAAACTACTTTTAATGGATCTTATAATCTTTATAACTCAGATACAGAGTTTTCCCAATTTTGCACATTTCTTTTAAATCTCGTAACTACCACTGGTAATATACTTTGTATTTTAAGTTTCCCAGATAGGATATTCAAGTGGGTTGAAATTTGGGGATCTTGAAATGCCTCTTATAAGGTTTACCGGCTAGCACGTAACATTGGCAATCCTTTATGCGATGTTATTTTAAGGAAACGTATTAACATCCCCGAGAAGTTCTGTAAGCCTTACTTGTGGTTTGTTTTAATGTAATATTTTAATATCTTTGTAAATTTAAATTCAAAACGTATTCGTCTGATTTGTAATGCGGAACGTAGCATTCGTTTATACAATAATTTAACAAAATTGTATTTTTCTTTACACACCAGTCACTTTTTCACTAATTCCGAAAATAAAAAGTGACAATTTTTTTAGGTTGTTATTATTGTATAAACATAAACGAAAGTCTACGTTACAAATTCAGAATGTGATGTTTATAGTACTTCTCGTGGATATATTTTACAGTAAATTACATTATTACGTTGTGTTAATATAACAGGTAGGTTAAATAGGTAAGTAACAAAGTTTTCCGAGGTTTCAATTTCCCTCAACAATCACTCATGAACGTTGCATTTACGTTGTATAGTAATGTTATTACGTTCCTTTAAAGAACATCGCCAACTGGCTTGGCAACGTTGTAGCTAGGTTATATTCAACTAACTAAGTAACGACAAAAGAATTACTTTTTGTACAAAAATGTTACGCTCTAGGCAAATTCAGAACTGTATCGAAAGTTAATCTAGAAGCACCCAATTCGACTAAACTGACTAGACCAAGGCGTTCTGGTTAATTCTACTGATTTTTGTGGACAGACGAGCGACAACGTGGGAGACATCGAGCAGGACCGAACTGGTCGAAAACGTCTCTCATTACAATATTGGTATTTGATTTCAGCAGAATTTTAATATTAAATTTATAAAAAAACATTTGTTAGATTTAAATTGTTGAGGTTTTACTATAACCTGCATTTTAAAGCTTTAATCAATCTCTCAATAAACAATAATAATTGTAAAATTAACTCAAATGATAACATCTATAAAAAGTTTCAGAACAATTTTGGGGGAGAAAGTACTGTAAAACTGCTAGTGTGATGTTTACTGAATTTCTCTTTGTAACCTCTAGGAGAAGTGTTATAAATTTAAAGAACATTACATGGAAGTTTAAAGATCGAGGAATTTTAGCTTATTAACGTTGATGGGATATTTATGTGATAGTTGGGTCCTAACCACATATTGGAGAAATTTTCATACAAAAAATTTCAAACCGCAGTTTTTAATGTGGGATGATCCCATCATTATGGAAATATTTTTTTTTATTTGCGGGCTTAAACGAAGTAAGTAGGTTACATATCTGTTTTAGGTACTTAATTTACAAAATTTCGATACAAATGGCATTATAGTGGATTAATTTTTACAATTATTTCTACCAATACTCAAAATAATAAATGAGTTCAAAATCAAATTTAAAATAAGCCTATACATGACGTTTGAAAACTGCAAGTACGAATCAGTGAATACCCTGTATAGTGGTCCAACATGGGACCGACAGGCCACTTGCAGCACGCTACGACATTCTTTGTGGCCTACAGAGCGAACCAAAAAATTATATAAATATATCTAAATAACCAAGCGAGTAATTTCTAGGCAAAAAAAATAAAACCAAATAAGATACACAAGGGCCTATGTGAGCCCACTGGATATATAGACTAATCAAATATTAATGGTTATATCGATACACACTGGTTAGTGAAAACCAATATCTCCAAACTTCCCACTAATTTGTTTGTATATTTGTTATTTTTTTTTTTGTTTATAAATAATAATTACACAAACAAGTTTTGTACCTATCACAAATTATTGATAAAGTTGCATACGAAGAATAAGTTTCCATTAAATAACTTTCATTACTTAGTATTAAAAATCCATAATGTTTCAATTTTAACACACTAAATTCATAACAACTTCAATTGAAGTTCAAAATTTCACTTTGTTAAACTCGTTCATTGAAAATTCCATACCTATATTTATGTACTAGTTTTGTGAAATTTTCATGGAACTCCTTTGTCATAAGATTAGATTAATTTGCTTTATATAAAGATCATCTGTAGGTTGCCCCGGACTACCACGGCTAATAATAATAATAATAGACGTCACTTCCACATCCAAGATCAGTCGGTTTCGGGGTTTAAAATTCACTTGTGAGGGGGTGAATTATAGGGACAGCAATACTATTATATTAAAGATAACGGTGAATAACTACATTAATTGCGTACTCTAGAGAGTGGAAAATCATTCATAGGTTTGAATTAAAATCTTTAAAGAATTTAAACTTTACTTTCCTTCACTGTCCTATGACTGAATATCTACCGTACATCCCCACAGAATTATGGCTATTAATATTTTATATGGGGCATAAAGCAAGTCACATATACATACATGTCCCCCTAGGTTGGAATCATATGGAAAACTTTTTTATTATTAATTTTAGGAAAACAGATATTCTTCATAAAAAAATATACATTATCTAAAACCTAGAATACAGTCATCAAATATTAAATTTGTTCAGTGGTATACGAGGTTTGTCAAAAACTATGAGTTTTATTCAAGAGTAAAGTACCTTCATTCTTTATACGACTGATAAAATTTGATATTTGATGGTTGTATTTTAGGTTTTAGACCATGCTCAACTTTTTATAAAGAACAACTTTTTTTCCTAAAATTAATAATAAAAAGGATATTTATATGCCGCCAATTTACGTGGGCATTTGGTGGCATAGGGCAGCTTTTTTATTACTAATTTTAGGAAAAAAAGTTGTTTTTTATAAAAAGTCGAGCATAGTCTAAAATCTAAAATACAACCATCAAATATCAGTCGTATAAAGAATAAAGGTACTTTACTCTTGAGTAAAACTCATATTTTTTGTCAAACCCCGTATACCAATGAAAAAATTTGATATTTGATGACTGTATTCTGGGTTTTAGATAAGGCAGAACTTTTTATAAAAAAATAACTTTTTTTCCTAAAATTAATAATAAAAAAGTTTTCCATATGATTCCAACCTAGGGGGACATACTGTATATAGAAATTATAATGAAAATCAGCTTCTTTGGAGTACTCTTGAATTAATGACAATTAGGGATATTATAAGTGCATAAAATTTAACTAAAAATATTTATTGAATTAAAATTTACTAATCGTGTTTGTAAAAAAAAATTAATATACATTTTTTTTAAATTACTTTCTCATTCACGAAATAAAAATGTCACCGTTTTGTTAGTTGATTTCTGTTATCTTATGCATCCAGCTTTTATCAGATAAAATGACCAAAACCGAAAATTGTGATATTGAAAATGCAGCAAAAATAAAGGAAAACGAATATCAAAATGAAGTCAGAAAATCTAAACGAAGGTATCCCGGCTTTCGCAAAAATCTTCTGGATTATTTTCAAGAATTCACTGGTAACACAGGCATCCATGGTTTTAAATATATGGGAGAACAGGATAGGACGTTATGTGAAAAGTAAGTATGAAATTAATCACAATAATTTTTCTAACGAAGAGATCATAGTTGTCGGCGCTTATAGGTTTGTTCCAACAACAATCTTGGAACAATACATTAACCAGTCCAAGACTTTTTGTTGATAATCTGTCGACGACTAGTAATTGACAACCTGTCAGGTACTGGTCGGGGATTGGGACTCAACTCGAAACTCGATTATGTTGGAACACATTTTTTAAATTTAAAAGACGTACTTTTATAACAATAAACCACAAAATAAAATAAATAATAATGAACAAAAACTATAAAGACTAAACTCGATTAACAAATTCAAATCAGAATTGTCAGAGACATTATATACAAATAATATAATTACAATCACGAAACGTTCCGTTTATTGCGGCTTTGCGCATGTCTTGACAATTCGTTCCTATTCAGATTTGACAGTACACAAATCGGTTTGTGATTAGTTTTGGTTGTGTTGGAACACTATGTTTTTGTTCAGTTTTGAGTCTAAGGTTTGTTGGAACACGAATTCTAGACTACGCAGAATCCCGACAGTACGCAAACTGATTTGGTTTATGTTGAAACAAACCTATAGTTATCACTTATCACCAACATGACTCCTATCTTTTTTGATCATGGCTTACTCTAGAACTATTTTTTTAAACATTATACGTAAACTTATCAAGTAAAAGGTCTAAAAAATAGATGAGATGTATCAGTAGTAATATCCCAAGGATAGTGATAATTCGAAATATTTTTTTACTTACCGAAAGCACGTTGCCACAGTTTATAGCTAAAAAATCAGTTAGCTCACTTGGACCAATTGGATGTTCCAAAATAAAATCCACTCCAGGGATACAAATTCAGGATGCGCAGAAGACCGCTGTTTGAATATAGGCGGTTGTCATATATTGTATTATGCCACTATACGAGGCAAGAGAGAGGTTCGACACGCCCAACATAGGGCGCGGCCATTTTGAAGCCTGTGACACAGTTTACAGCTAAATAATCAGATCGCTCACTCTGCGTCGGCACTTTTGATCTCAATGTTTCAGTTTATACACTGTGCAACTCGGATAATACAATATATGACAACCGCCTATAATAAAACAGCAGTCTTCTGCGTATCCTGAATTTGTATTCCTGGAGTGGATGTTATTTTGGAACTTTCAACTGGTCCGAGTGAGCTAACTGATTCATTAGCAATAAACTGTGACTTCAAAAATAATATTCACTGACACTGACAGCAGCAAGCAAAATATCAGGTGCGTTTTAATCATCCGCTTCTGCTTCCGGAATTGTCGGTTTAGTCGTTTTAACCTGTCAGATTAAAACAAGAAAATCGACAATTCCGAGGCAGAAGCGGATGATTAAAACGCACCTATTAAAAATATTGCGCCAAAATGTAGGCAACATGTAATAAGGGTTCAAAATGGCGGAGTTTTCTATCTCCTTTTAAAAGGCACTCAGAAAGCTGCGCAGTGCGACCATTCTCCGTATAGTAAAATAAAATCAAAGTATGTGTATTATGCATTCCAAACAAACCAACTGCCAGTGGAAAGATTTGATATATCCAAGGGTTGCGACATACGATGTTTACAATACGTAAAATCATGATTAGAGAGTTGAAGTCATGCTACGAACGTAAACGTATACGTGAAAATTGACATCTACGCATGCGCATTCAAATATCCTTCACGTTCACGTCTACGTACATACGTAAGCTTGCGGGCTCTGCACGTAACGCAAATAAAATAACCTCTTTTTAATTGGGAAAGAAGAAATCCTAATAATAATTGTCATTATCTGTCATGATACGCAAATGTCACGATGCGTTTAACAACTTCAACTCATATTTTGGACTATACCGTAAACATTATTTTTGTGCGTTGACGTTTACGTTTACTTTAACGTACTAGAAACACTTCAACTCTCTAATAATGGATTACATTTTAATATTTTATGTCAAACACAATAAAAATAAGAAACCGCTCATACATTTTTTTATAAATTGGCAGGCTTGGTGACTTATTTCAAATAAAAAAAAAAGCGTTCAAGATGCAAGACTATGTCGCTACCCCTTAGATATACCAGACCTTCTCACTGGCAGCTATTGTTTGACAGGTCGTTGGAATGTCTAATTGGTTATAGTAAGAGAGCCCACTACAAATTACGACCGCCATCTAATAACAAAATGAAATATGCTCCCAAGACATGTAACAATATTGTATTTTACCAAATTGCACTTGTGCTACGTCCAAATATATTCCAGAATTAGACGTCCTCTGAATGGTCAAAAGTGTGCCATTTTTATACTTCACTAGACGTCCAGAAAAAACTTATTTTTGGACGTCTAGACATCCAAAATTGTATATCGAATGGACGTCCAATGGACATATTTGTATTGTCTGGGCGATAGCCAGGCCAGGTATTTATCTCTAAATACATAAACCTTAAATGACATCTGGCTTAACTTGGCGAGAAAACACTTGTTTCTACAGAAATGAGGGATAAACATGAAAGTACTTTTAATATAATATAAATCCAGAAATTCTAAAAATATGTAAGTACTTTTTAAACCTAAAAGCTTTGAAAATATAAGAACATTGCAAATATTTAGTTAAATCTCTCAAACTTAATTTCTTTTTAATTGTTACCTAAATTTTTTTTGGCACCCTTAATTTTATTTACCTTATTTTTACTTAAGGAAAAGGTAATTTAATTTAAATATGGGGCTTTTATTTCATTTTTAACAATAAATAAACCAAATTTTATGGATAAATTATAAAATAAGTAATAAATAATAAACGTCTTTTACTTTTATAACAAATAATTAATTATTACATAATGAATTATATTTTGGTGCCGAAATTTCACCATTGCTATTAACCCTAACTACTTCAATGTAATTAAATCACATTACAACATTTGCGCATGGACTATAACAATGATTTCAGATAATTTGCCAAACTAGTTCGCTCAGTGTAGAAAACAAGCATGTTTTCTCAGCGTGCTAAGTTGTGTATTAATCAAAGTCATGCTGTGAAAAAGGTACATCCGATATCAAAGGCACCGACAGCTACTGTCGCTTCTCCTTGATCGGTATTCTAGGGTATAAACTGGAACATTGAGATCAAAAGTGCCGACGCAGAGTGAGCGAACTGATTCTTTAGCTATAAACTGTGACGTTGCTTGGTAACTTCCCGACGCCGTAGGCTGATGAAAGTTATAGTTTTTTGCAAATGCGCTAGTTCAGAGTGATGTCATTTTGGTTCCACTGACATTTAATTCTAACCAAACTTTTAACAAAAACATCAATAAATTTGACATATACGTTTTTACTGTTTCTATTTTATTTCAAAATATTGTTTACAGGTCATAAAAAATAGTTTAAAGGTATATGTAATTGGTAACTAAACGATTGTATATTTGATACATGCTATCTACTTACTTTAGGAATATATTTATAAAAGTGAAAAAACGATATGATATAATTTAGGTAAACAAATCGAACAAAACGCACTCAAAAAATCTACTGTCACTTTAATTGTCAGTGGAACCATAATTACATCATCACTGAACTAGCGCATTATAATTCCCAAATCACACTATAGACAGGGTCTGAATGAGAAATGTGTGTAATGAAAATGAACAAAAATGCTTTTTCAACATTATTATGTGACAAATTATAAGCGAAGGAATACCAGCGTTACTATAAATAAGAACAAATAATTTTAGACTATTTTACAAGGACCAAAAGAGACTTTTAGTTTTTACCTACAAAATTAAAAAAAATAATTTATACAAAATCTCTGATTTAAGGATTACCGCTGTTATCATTTTCACTAAAATTCCCCTCACTACTTTCAGCTACGATAATGATGAATCTTTGTGGAGTCCTTTTTAAATATTTATTCTCAATTGCAATAACATGTTTAATCACGTTTGCCCAATGTACATTAGTAATTTTATTAAATGCATATTTTTTTAAATTAATAACATTCTCACATTGGTGTTAAAGATTCCACTTCTATATAGACTGATTTCACTTCAGTCGGTTCCGGTAATTTGGTTCCATATTTGTGGAAATCAACATATACATGATGAGGCTGCTCCTAATCATGTTGGACTTGGTTTTCATCATTCAACGATTTATCTTCGGTTATTAATTCGGTAATATATCCGTGACGTAATAAATCAGCTGTTTTTCGTCAAAGTTATAACCAAAATTTTGCGGTGTTATAGGTAATTGACAGTTACAACTGGAGTGAGTGTTTTGTACTAACTAGTACTATATAAATAAAGTATACTAAACACGAAATTGTGCCTTTTTTAAATATTATAATCATATTCAAAAATGGTATAAGATTATTGGATGAGTAAAAATTGCAAAGGGAAAGACTTCAGAGACTTATTTCTTCTTTGGATCTTATTCTTTCTTGCAGGACAATAAACAATATAGTTTAAATAAAAATCTATATCGCTAATTCATAAACACGGCGAAAAAGATGGGTTAAATCGAATTGACATTTGAAAATAAACAACCACGGTTACTACCACTTCGTTTAAGCGATTGCCACTTATGACGTCAGTATACTAATCCCTTCCATAAATTCACTCAATAACCAAGAAATTTTGTGGCAAATACCAAGAAAATTAGGTAGTTTACTTAAAATTGCTTTTTATACATTATTATACGTCAATACCATGCTTAGAATATAGCTTTAATATAATTTTATCAATAGAACTGGACCATTGAATTAATTTCCCATCATCGTACTATTTACGACACATTATTATTAACATGCTTTAAAATTATATTATTGTTCTAGGGTTAAATAAAGCAGTCAAATTAATAATTATTACTAAATAGGTAAGAAGTTTTAGGGCACCCACCAAAATTTAATATATAATTATATAATTAGTAAGGTCCTCCACCAAATTTTTAATTTTATTCTTATGTAACACAATGCTAAATACTTATAATTTATTACATAAACCTGGCTTTCGAAAAG